AGGATGGCCCACGATGGCCTCCAAGATGGCCAAGATGGCCTCCAAGACGGCTAAGATAGCCCCAAGATGCCTCCAAGACTGCCTAGGACGCCTCCAAGACGGCATAAGAAAACCGATAGATGGCCAACGACGGCCCAGGAGGCTCCCAAGAGGCCTCCACGACGGCCCAAGAGGCCTCCAAGAATGTCTCCAGGACTCCAAGAAGGCCCGAAGGTCAAAATCATTGATTTCCCTTTGATGTGTGAAAGAGTTTGGTTTTTGCGTTTTTTCTGCTTTCCGACGGCCCAAGATGGCCCAAGAGGCCCCCGAATTCACCCCAAGATCGCCCAAGAGGCCTCCAAGATGTCCTCATGACAACCAAAGAGGCCCCCAAAACGGCCCAAAGAGGGTCCCAGGACGGCCCAAGAGGCCTCCAAGACGCCCACAATAGTCTCCAGGACGGCCTTGAAGTGTGAACGGAAATGCGGGGGCCGAAATGCCGAACCAGTCCGCCCGAAAGAGACCCGTATGTAAAGGCCGAGAGGGGCAGCGGTAGGTAGAGGGAACACGCACACACACACACACACACACACACACACACACACACACACACACACACACACACACACACACACACATTCACCGTCCCGAATCCCGCTCGAGAGCATGTCCCATGACAACGCTGGCGAACAATGGTTTCGAGATAGAGGCGTGGGCCCCATCCCATCACTGCCGCACTGTAAAGCCCCAGTCGGCAAAAAAGGTTAGAAAGGCCCTGTCAAGTACCCTTAATATTTGCTTGTGGCATTTGGCCCCCTCTGGTGCGCGACCCAAAAAACGCTTCGGGCACGCACGGAAGACAATGAATGGGGCGTGACAGGGAGAGCCAAAGGAAGAGTCGAACATCTGGTGGGAGCACGGCGGACGGCAAAACGGCGTCGGCGGCGCAGGGCTCTCCACCAAACAAGAGGACTATATAATCCCACCAGCCCTCTGGGCGCAGGTGGTCTAGGGCGTTTCCTTTTCCAACCTTCTTCCTTTCCCTGCTCGGGAGGTTTACCTCCCCCCCCCCTCCCTGCGTCTGGACGGGTTCCCCCGCGATGTGGCAGAGGGCCCTTGTCGGCCAAAGATGGCTCCAAGAGGGCTTCAGAAAGTGCGAGATGGCCTCCAAGATGGCCCAATACAGCGGCAGATGGCCCAAGATAGCCTCCGACGCGCATCCAAGAGGCCCCAAGACGGCTTCAATACGGTTTCAAGTGCCCCCCGAGACCCCCCAAGAGGCCAAAATCCTTCAAAACCTAAGGAAATCAATGTGGTGTACCTTCTCGCTCTTTCGCCTCCGATGGGCTCTCGAAGCGTCAAGATGGCCCCAAGACGGCCCATGATAGCCCCAAGAAGGGTCCAAGAGGGCCCCAAAACGGCCCAAGAGCGCCCAAGAGCGGCCCGAGAGGGCCCCAAGACGGCATCGTTGAGCCTCCGAGGGGGCGCTCCGAATTGAAACACCCAACGCTTTTCAGCGAAAGGGCCCAAAACGGCCCCAAGAGGCCCCTCAGGCATCCCAGAAGAGCCCCAAGAAGGCCCCCAGACCCGGCCAAAAAGCCCAAAAGGACCCAAAACGCCCCAAAAGAGCCCCAAGAGGGCTCCAAGAAGGCCCTAAGAGGACCCCAAGAAAGAGCTCCAGGAAGACCCCAAGAGGGCCCCAGGGGAACCCCAAGAGAACACCAAGATGGCTCCAAGTTTCGAAACGCACGCGAATCTAAGACACAAATCGCCGCAACAGCCATTATGAGTCATCGAAACACCCCTTACCCCTCATCGAAGCACCATCGTAACTTGCACGGATTTTCATATTAAACTTCAATGCGGGAAGCTCTTGGTGATCATTGTTTTCCCGAAGACGGCTGCGCAATTGCATGCGTCCTGCCGCCCCTGATTCACCGACTCCACTGCTGATCGTTTCTGGATGGGCTGGTGGGGATACTGTGTCGTTCGCGAGCGCAAACGGCACGGCCGCGCGCCGTCGCAACGGCCAAGCAGGCCTAGAACAGCGGCTGAACAGAACCGGCGGGCACGCAGCACACTCAGAGGCCGAAAGCGAAGAGCAAGAACGCCGAGCCCACATGCGGAGGGAACCTCAGTAAACTTGTTCGAGAAGGACGCGAACAACCGTCTCCCCGATGAAGAAGGCGACGCCAATCAAAATAACGAACAGGGCAGATCGTGACATACCAGCGCCATCGTCAATACGCATCTTGTGCACCTACCACGTAGCAGCCACACGAGGCAGTACTGACACCAACGAACAGTCATCCACTCAGCCAACGTACCACGGTACAGCCGACGTGCGGGGCGGCAGGTGCGCATCAGAGTAGCGCCAGCGTCGTCGGTAGCATCTGCCAAGGAGAGGCCATTTTTTTGGCCAAGGAGAGGCAATTGTGCTTGCTGTCGCTAAACCAAATCCACAGGAAGCGTCGAGGGCCATATAGCCAACCGGCGGCCGCAGGCGAGCGCGCCGGCGGCGAGTCAAGTCAAAGCGGGCTACGCAGAGACTAACTAAGCAGAGGCAGCGCGAACAGGCTACAACTAACGCGCCAAGCCGGGGCCTCACGCGGCGGCCCAGCGGCGGGCGGGTGGCAGGAGAGACTGAAACCGAGTCGAACTGCCAGCGCGCTGGTGGGGATACTTTTTGGTTCGCGGCTCCAAAGCGAGGGACAGGGAGCGGGCTCAACGTCCGGGGCGCGGAACGAAGTGAATTGGCCTCAGTGGCGCATGCACGCGCCAGGGACAAAATGACCCTCATTGAGACGCACACGGCGTCGGCTGGTGACCCGCCCAGACATCCCGGCAGGTGGGGACGCAGGCGCGGCGACTGGCGGCGGAACGGGGGGGAGAGGTCGCCCTTTCGGCGCCAAGCTCCAGCCGAACCACATACGGGGGCGAGGCCAGGACGGACGGCGCGGCACTGTAAAGCTGCAGGCAAAACGAGGGCCCGAATGGCCACAGGCCAAGCGAAGCCAACGAGCGTGCACACAGAAACGGGCCGCCCAGACCACGGCAGGGGGGAGGGGGAGGGGGCAAAAGCGAACGACAACAAAGGCTCACTGCAGCACAACGAGTAAAGGATGGTGCGGCAAAGAAGGCCTGACTCATCATGGCTCACTGAAGCTGAGGTGCAGCTGAAACCCGTCAGAGCGCCCCCCAGTAGAGGAAGACCACTGGCGTGCGCTCACGAGGCTGAGCCACCTCCAGCCTGTAGCCAGTGCGTGCACATCGTATTCGACACTCGCGGTTCGGGGGTAAAACGATGCAATGTACTGGCGGGGGCTGGTAGCAGACAGTTCTGCTAGGGGAGCGACCACGAACTGCAGAAGGCTGAACCACTCGATGCAGGGTCACTCCCTGGCGAAGCCAGACATCGGGTGTCACCGAATGCATGGCTGACGGCCGCACCAAATCCACACCTGCCCCGCAGCCCGGGCGGAAGCCGAGTACGCCGACGCCAGTGGGGAGCCGATGGCTGGCGGCTACCGAGTTGCTGGGCCGTAACGCACGTAGGCGGCGTGCTGACGGCGGGCCAAGACGCCCTTGTGGTAGAGCCATGACCGGGTCAGCGACGAACCAGGGCGAAACTCAGGCAAGAGGGGGGCGCAGCCAGCCGCTGAGCACCAGTGTCACTGAGGGATGGCGGGGCGCCATCCAATGAAGGACCACTGGTGTGCGTGCACAAGGCTGGCCACCACCAGCCGGTAGCCAGTGCACTTACATCGTATCCGACTCACGCGGTCCGGGGGCACAACGATGCAATGTCCTGGCGAAGGCTGGGGCCGTGGCTGCGCCGAGAAGAGCCGAACGAACTTGGACCGCGGAAGGCTGAACCACTCGATGCGGGGCCACTCGCTCGACGAAGCCAGTCACCATGTGCATGGTGGACGGTCGCCCCCACTCAACACCTGCCACGATGCCCATGCGGAAGCCGGATGCGTCCGACGCCGGGGCATACAGGTGGCCGGCAGCTGCCGAACTGCTGGGCTGTACCGTTCGCTGGCGGCGCGCTGACTTGCCAAGGCGTCCTCGTGGTAGAACCAAGGCTGAGTCGGCACTGATACTCCCTGGGCAGGTCCCAGTGCTTTCGCTCTTCATCGGTCGATGCAATCTACGCCGTTGATCGGGGGGGCGCAGCCAAAAGCCGCAGAGACGTTGTGAAAGAGAGGAGGAGGGGGCGCAGCCAATAGCCGCTGGACACAGATAATGATACCCTGGGCCTCCATGCACAGAACTTCTTGACCACGGGCGTGCCGACGTGCCAAGGCGTCCTTGTAGCAGAATAATGGCTGGGTCGGCGACGAGAGACCGAAGCTCCCTGGGCAGGTCTCAAGGTGAGCGCACATCTGCGACCGCGGCAATCTTCGCAGCTGATCGGGGGGGCGCAGCCAAAAGCCGCAGAGACGCTGTGAATGAAGGAGGAGGAGGAGGAGGAGGAGGAGGAGGAGGAGGAGGAGGAGCGAGCGAGCGAGCGAACCTCGAGGAATCCACCAGTGTCCTGCCTTGACTGAGCAACTAAGCAATCGCCTCGTGCCATCATCGCGCGCAGCTGGATTCTGAGACGGGGCACTCCAACCCCAACGCGGAGGAAAAAAATAGCTCTGTGAACCCTGCCTGCGCTCCCCTTTGGGGCACAGGCCCGCGGGCAACCCCCCTAAGGCGCGCAACCCTGCGGAAGGCGCCCACTCAGGCACGAGAGCCACGCCCACCACCACGACGTCCGCGCCCACCACGTCTGCCTGGCGCGCCGCGGCCGTAGCCTGGTAGAAACACAAGCGGATGGGCAGGAAGGGCATCGTCAGCATAGCTGCTCACCAGCACGGCTCCCGAGCGAGCCCTTGCCGCGGTCTCGGCACTGATGCTGCCTCTAGCCTCCAGCTCCGCTAGTCTTTGAGAGCTGCTAAAAAATTGCCCCCGTCTCCTATCCGTGCCTCCCACGCGAGGCGCTAGGGCGGGATGAGCTACTTCGCATTGTTCACCATCTTCGCAATCTCGCGCTCGAGCGGGCCCCTGGGAGCTGATCCATGCACTGCCGTCGCGCCCTCGTACTGGAGCACATTCATGATGTATGGACGGCGCGCCAGTGCCAGCTTCGTGTCCTTGTTGAAGTTCGTGATGACCAGGCGCTGCTGCTCCACGCCCTCCTCCTTGCGGAGCGGCTTCAGCCTGAAGCAGAGCACCGCTTCCGCGATGGTCTCCATCTCGCTCGAAACGATCGTGTTCTCCCACACCTGCTTGGCCTCGAGCGCGTTGGTCCTCTCTCCGTCTTGGCCCTCTGCCGCCGCGCGCTACGCCACGCACTGGAAGGCCGCCAGGAACACGTGAATGCGCGGAGGGCCTCGCTTCTTGAAGTGCTCCTGCGAGGCGCCGGACTCCTTCATGGCCTTGCTGCCCTCCTCGTATTTCTTGCCTGCCGCCCGCATGGCCGCGGGGAGCCCCCGCGAGAGGGGCATCATGAAGGTCACGTAGACCACCGCCGCCAAGTCGGCCACCGCGCGAGCCTGTGCCAACACCAAGCGCCCAATGGCCGTCACCAACTTCATCAGGTCGTCCTTCTCGCCTTTCTTGCCCCGCTTGGCAGCGGCGCCCCCGGCCGCGCCCGCCGCCGCGTTGCCGCCTGCCCCCGGTGTCGGAAGGCTGGACCACGACGGCATCTCCAGCGGCATCTGTTCCAAATGCTCGCGTAAGATGCGCCGCCGGCGCTTGCTGCAACGTCGACGGTAGACGGCTGAGGAGATGGCTACAGTGGGCTGGGAGATCCCCCGCTTCATGTCCACGCAGCGGGCACTTCAGGGACGTGGGCTCTCTGAGGGCCTCATTGCTCCGCGGCGTGGCCCCCAAGGCTCCTTTGTCGCATCTCCCTCTCCGAATCGCCGCCTGCAAGTGACGCGCGGCCGCGATGCGAGTCTTGAAAACCTGTCGGCACCCGATGCAGATATTCGTCGGTGTCAGCACATGCGCAAGATTGTGGAGGTGGTGTTGTTGGGTTATATGTTTGAGGAGAGAGGTCTGGGTAGAGAAACAAGCCCCACATAGCTCCCCCTCGTCAGTCCGCACTTCGCATCGAAAAGGCCCTTCCTCGCCCATCCCATCCGTCGGCGCATGCAGCCCTCCAGCATCGGGCCCACTTGAAGCAGTGGTAAAGACGGGAGCGGCGCAGTCCACAACCTGACCTCTGCTCGAATTCCGTTCCGATGCACCCTCCTGTTCCCGCGTCGGCGGCGGGATCTGCACAGTATTCAACGCTGCGCGCAACCTCCCAAAATCCAAGGCCGTGAATTCTGAAGACCGCTCCACATCAGCAAAAATAGTAAAGTCCTCCAAAATCTCATCCAGGCTGCAAGAATCCATGATCGGGGCCGAAGCCCACAAGTCCGCTTCCATCTGGCGAAGCCAAGGTGAAGCCGAAATCGACGGCCTCCCCCTCACAAGCTGCGGTACAGTCGACTCGTGTTCGCCCCTCAGTACCCCGAAGAGTGCACACAAAGGTTGTACATGCCCCGTCGGATTGCGTGCCCAAGACTGATACCACTTAAGCCTCCTAATACGAAGGTCAACACGACTGCCCGAGAATCGCCAGTAACGCAAGACCTCAGGAGTGGTCATACTCACCTTGTGTCCGGTCGACGTTTCGGCGCACGCGTCCCCTAGCATCGCCGTCCTGCAGAGGGCCGCCAAACAGCCGTCCAGCTTGCTATAATCCGGCGACGTCAACACGAAAGGTTCAAGCCCACTTAAGAGAGCGTTGCCCACGAGGCCCTGCAGGAGCTCCCTCCGCCACTTATATGGCAGGCCCACCGACCACACCCCTCCCAAGCGAAAGAAAGCCTGCCGAGCCGCATCGCACCTCCGAGGGATCTCGTGGTGTCCTGTAGACAACATATTAATAAAGGGGCCCAGGTATCGTACACACTCTCGTACCTTGCCCCGACATGGCAGGGACCCCTGGGCGGACCGCTCTCTCAGGATCGTCTTCGCAGGCCTAGACTGACTCGCAAAGTAGAAAAGCAATTCTTGTTTATCAGCGTTTTGACCGTAGCCGTACATCCCCAAGAAGTCGTCTAGCGTCTCGTCGACCCAACTTAGTTTATGTAGGAAGTCTGAAACCGTGTTCCCAGGATCGGCCACCACAAACTTGTTTAGATCGTCCGCGTATTTGAGTAGGCTTAGGTCAACTGATAGTTTGCCAGCTCGATATTAAAACCTTGGCCGAACGGTCGTGCGTAAAAACGTGGTGTCCCCATGCTGTTGTGGCCCGTCCGAAAGTTCCCAGGAAACCCTGCACGGTGAACGGGTCCCAGGAGGAGGAGGAGGAGGAGGAGGAGGAGGAGGAGGAGGAGGAGGGGGCGCCGCTAAAGCCCAGGACACGGAGACTGCGCCACTCGATGCGGGGCAGCACGACGAAGCCAGTCACCATGCAAATGGAAGACCGCCACCTCCACTCAACACCTGCCACGCTGTCCATGTAGAAGCCGGCTGCCTCCGACGCCAGGGCATACAGGATGCTGGCAGCTGCCGAGCTGCTGGGCTGTATCGATTGCTGGCTGCGCGCTGACGTGCCAAGGCGACCTCTGAAGAACCATAGCTGGGTCGGCGGACCGATACGCCCTGGGCAGGTATCAGGGCGGACGTTCTTCTGCGTCCGGTGCATTCTCGGCAGTCATCGGGGGGGCGCAGCCAAAAGCCGCAGAGACGTTGTGAATGAGAAGAAGAGAGGAGGGGGCGCAGCCAAAAGCCGCTGAACACAAATATCGATACCCAGGGCATCCATGCACAGAACTTCAAGACCACGGGGGGGTGGGGCTGAGCGAGGGCGAGGCGGTGGGTAATGTCGTTCACCAACCGCTGCCGTTCACTGTGCTGTGAAAGAGGTGGAGCGCAGGAGGTGGGTTATTTCAGCCACCAGTCTCTGCCGTCCAAAGTGGGCTGCCCTGAGAAGGTAGCACAGACGACCCCCGAGCCCGTGCTGGCAGTGGTCTCCACCGAGGGGGGCAGTGGCCGCAGTCCCGTGCGGCAGTCGGCCGCAGGGATAGAAGGGCCTGGCAAGGTCCACGACTCCAGCGTGGGCTGTCTACGTGCGCAGCGCAAGGGTATTGGTGTCCCACCGCCCCCGCGGAGGTAGCACAGGGTATTGCGGCCAAGGCCAGGCGCTGCAAGGTCCACGAGTCCAGCGTGGGCTGTCTATTAGCGCAGCGCAAGAGTATTGGTGCCCCTCCGCCCCATCAGAGGTAGCACAGGGTATTGCGGCCAAGGCTGGGCGCTGCAGGTGAAACTGTCTGGGGGGGGGGGCGGCGAATGCCGGGCGGAGAGGAGCAGAGGTGGGGAAAGAGGTGGTGTGTGCTGCACGTAGCAGGCAGCACGATAGGTGGTGGGCCGTGGCGAACTGGTGGTGATACGCGAAGCGTCAAGAATTCAAAATATTAGGCGATGCGCCAACTGCCACAGTGAGGCAAGCAAATCGCTCAGTATCATCCCTGATATACCGTGCTGGAAGCAATAACACCAAAGTACCGCACGGTGTAATGTCGAAATGCTGATGTATGTATGTGTATATACATAGAAAGAGAGATGTGTATATATATATATATACAGAGAGAGAGAGAGAACAAACAAACAAAAAAATGCGTCGTATCTTGCACCAACTGAATGCCCAAAAGAACGGCTTGCACAACCCAATCATTTACCAAACGTGCAAGTCATGAAAAAGATGCACCTTCACATATTACGGGTTCCATTATTTGCCCCAACTTTCGTGAAAATGGGAGCATTCGCTTATAAGATTGTCCACGACTCTGCTTTCTCTCGCATCGTCAATGAGTACGTCCCGGAAGTACGAGTAAACGGCTCATGCATGAAGGTAGCTGGGCCTCCGTCCCAATTTCATTGACTGGGCGCGCAGAGTCGCGGGGCTTGCACCCGACAATAAGGAATCGGAATGTGGAAGTCGGGCAAGCAGGGCCCCAAGTCGGCCCAGAGAGGTCCCCAAGACGGCTTCCGACAGCGCCAGACGGGCCAGGAATGCCAATAAAACGGCCAAAGAGGCCTCCGAGAAGCCCCAAGGGCCCCCAAGAGGCCTAAGGAGGCCCCCAAGATGCCTCCAAGAGGCTCGCGGACGCTCCCAGGCGGCCCCCAAGAATGCGCCTGGAGGCTCCCAAGATGCCCCCTCCTCCTCCTCCTCCTCCTCCTCCTCCTCCTCCTCCTCCTCCTCCTCCTCCTGATCTTCCCCACCATCCTGCCCCCAAGTGTTCCCCGAAGGGTTTCCACAACGGCCGGGGGAGCACATGGTCCGATAGCCGGGCAGAGCTCCTGCCACAGCGCTCAGCCACATGGGCGATTCCAAAAGGCAGGGGGCGGCGGTGATTCGCCGTAGGCGTCTTCGATCCGACGCCCCCTGTGGTTCGGGAACCTGCTGACCCGGGTCAACCCAGACCCGGGTCAGTCAGGCCTTGCAGAATCCTGCAAGATCCTGCACCCGAACCCGGGTCAATGCGAAGTATCCTGCAAAATCCTGCAGGATCCTGCACCCAAACCCGGGTCAGTGCGACCCTGGCCCTGCAGGATCCTGCAAAATCGGGCGCTCTGGCTGACCCCCGTTTGCATTGACCCCGTCTCAAGGCTCCCGAATGGTCTTGCCACAGGGGCGCCCGGCGTGCTGAACCCGACTCCGATTGGTTTCGGTCCTTTTCCCAAAAGAGCTCTCTCGGGCGTTGGTAGAACTGGGTTTAGTGGAACCTGGTTCAGTGATCTGTACCGGGGGTGCCCCCCCGTCCCATTTCCACTAAAACCGGAACTGCCGTCACCCGAAAAAACACCAGCTATGGCAAACCTGGTTCAGTGATTCTGGCCACTTCGAAGGCTCCGGGGCCCTACCACTGACGGGGTCCCCTTGCCCGGGGTCCTGGCCATACCCGACTCTCCCCTGGGGCCGCCGGCCCAGTGCGCCGGCCACGCGGAAAGCGCCACGGACCACCTCAACCCTGCAGAAACAAATCTCTTCGGCGGCTCGAGGTGGCCTCCAAGAGGGCCACAAGACGGCCCCAACATGGCCTCCAAGATGCTTCCAAGACGGCCAAGGCAGCCCCAAGTCCGTCGAAGAAGCCACCAAGACGGCCCAAGATGGCTCCAAGATGCCTCCGAGTCCACCCATGAAGCCTCCAACATGGCCCAAGACGACCCAAGAGGCCCACCTCACAGTACCTTCGGACCTGGCTTACAGTACCGTCGGACCTGGCTGATAGCATGGTAATGACCGCCTGATTTGGCACGCACAGTCTCTGCAATCGCGACAACGCGAGAGAAAGATGAGAAGCGAGCCATTCGAAGGTCATTCGTAATGCCGCGTCAAGGGCGAAGCCATTCAAAGACCAAAGAAAGACGAGAAGAGAAGAAAACCATCGAAGTCATGAGCAAGTCACAGGAGCAGTCAAAATGGAAGACACCGTGAAGGAGAGGAAGCGGCGGCGCCGGGCGACCCAAGAATTCGGGGGCGCCTGCTTGAAACAGTAGAAGTCGTGCGGCGCCGGGTCTTGCCCGTCGGGAACCCCGTCGCCGTCGCTGTCACCGAGCTTGACACAGTCTCCTCGGCGGAGCCCATTTCTCAAGGCAGAGTGGCACGGAAGAGGGAGCGCGGGGAGCGGGAGGGAAGGAGGAAGACGACAGGGGAACGAGAGAGCGTTTCAGGACTGGGAAGGGAGCAGGATGCGAAGGTGAGACGGTGTCGGATGGGAGGGGAAGGAAAGGGCGAGAGGGAGAGGGAGAGAGCGAGGGGGAGGGGGAATGACGGCGGGCGGAGAGGGAGCCGAGTCAAGTGGCACGGGGAAGGGCCTTCTCCTCGACCTCCTCCTGATTTCCCACCTCCCCTTTACTCCTCCCTCTTCCTCCTCCTGGTGACTTCCGGCGATTATCCCAATACCGCATGCAAAGCACAGTGACGGGAGAGGCCGAACGCCAGTGGATAATCCGCCGCGGTGCCCCCTGGCACGTCGAGGCGTGGTAGAATGCCGCGGGCTTCCTGGCACGGTTCCTGCCATCTTCTGCGGCACCCCCCTTCTCGAAGCGCCAAGCCGCGCGCATCGCCCGCCCCCCCTTCCTTCGACAAAACCTACGACCCCGAGTTCACGGTCCCCGGTAAAACTAAACGATTGGCCCGCGCTCCCGAGGAAGAGGAGGAGGAGGAGGAGGAGGAGGCCACGATCCCTCGCAACATACAATGGATCTGCGCTCCCCAGGCTTCCAAGACGATCGAGGCAGGCCACCCAAGGCCGCCGGGAGGGCCCAAAAGGCCCCCAAGACGGCCCCAAGACTGCCCCAAGACGGCTCCAGAAGACGCCTCCAAGACGGCGCACGAGGCCACCGGAGGACCCCCAAGGAGGCCCGAAGAGTCCAAATTCACGGATTGGAGAGGCCTTATGGCGGGCGCCGCCGACCCTGAAGGGGGCGTCGGCGGCGTGACGGCGGCGACGACGACGACGCTCACGTGGGGCTGAGACCTCAGGGGTGCTTCGCAAGGCCTCTTCGAAGCGCGCTCGTAGGCCTCTGGGGGGCAGTTTGGGGGCCTCTCGGGAGCATCTTGGGGGCCTCTTGGGAACCTCTTGGGGGTCCCATCAGGATTCCTGGGGACCTCTTGGGGGCCTCTTGGGGTCTCTTGGGGACTCGTGGGGGCTTCTGAAGAGCCTCTTGGGGGCTCCTGGAAGCTTCTCGGGGCCGAGACATCGAAATGTTCGTTCGGGCTCCCGTGTGGGCACCCTCTTGGAGCCGTTTGGGAGACCTCCTGGGCCGTCTGGGAGGCCTCTAGGGCCGTCTTGGGACCCTCTTGGGTCGTTTGGGGGCCGTCTTGGAAACCTCTTGGGGGGCCTCTTGTGCCGATCCTGGTGGCGTCTTGGACCGTCTTGCGGCGTCGGGAAGCCGAAAAAGTGAGAACGCCAGAACCCGTCAAAAACCTAAAGAAAATAATTGAATGTTGCCTGTGGGGGCCCTCTTGGTGTGCTCTTGGAGGTCTCTTCGAGCGTCGTGGCAGCCGCTCGGGGTGCCAAGAGACCATCCTTGGCATCTTGAACGGATTGTTCGGAGATTCGGGGCCCTCTTGGACCGTCGTGTGGGCGTCTTGAACTGTATTGGGGTCTTTTGGGGGGCCAGGACCATCCAGGAGGGTGGTATTCTGGCTCGGCACTCCCTCAAGAACCACCCCTGGGACCCACCCCCAGGGCTCCCCCGGGACCCCCCGAGGACCCCCCCAGGACCCCCCGCCAACACCCCACCCCGGGAGGCAAGGGATAAAGGTAAAGGGCTTCCCTTCGACTCAACTACGACGTTGCTCAATTTCACTTTGGTTTCGCATTGGCTGGCACGCTTGAGGAGGGCCAAATGACATGGGTGGGAGCGGCGACGGGCCCGGGCCCAGGGAACGGGGGGTCAAACGCGAGGGCGACGGCGACGACAACGACGACTACAACGACGACGTCGAGTCAAACAAAACAGCGTCTTCCACACGCCGACAGGGTCGGCGGATTTGCCTAAGTTTGATGTCTTAGTCCCATGTCTTCAGCTTGCTAGCATCCTTTAGCTCACGACAGTCGTGGACACCTCGAAGGTGGCCCCAAGACGGCCCAAAAAGGCCTTCACAATTGCTAACTGCTCCTCGAAGACGGCCCGAGAGAGGCGGAGACAGAGCCCAATGAATGAGAGGCTGCAAGCATTTCGCGCGATCACCGCGGGCGCTCCCTCTTCGTTCTCCCCCCCCCCCCACTCCTCCCCCCTCTCCTTCTCCTCCTCTTCCACCTCTCCAGCCTCCTCCTCATCCTCCTCGCCCCTCAATGGGCCCGTACACTGCCCAGGAGGGTCCCAAGAGAGCCCCAGACTGCCTAAGAGGGCCTCCGGATGAACCCGAGACAGACTCAGGAGGACCCGTCGGCGGCCCATGACGGCCACACTGCGGCCTCAAAAAGCCTCCCGGACGGCCAAGAGGGTGTCATCACGGCCCAGGAGGACCCTAAGACGCTGCCCAAAATGGGCCGCAGGACGGCCCAAGAGGGCCCCCAAGGGGCCCGAAGACTGCCCCACAGGATCCCAAGACAGTCCCGAGACTGCACTGAATAATGAGCTCCTCCTCGATATCGCAACCAGCGTGATGTTCCGCATCGCAGTTGTCCACTGCGATGCTCCTCCTCCATCTGTTCCTCCTCCTCCTCCTCCTCCTCCTCCTCCTCCTCCTCCTCCTCCTCCTCCTCCTACTCCTCGTCCCTGCCCCGCTCTCCTCATCATTGTGTGCTTCATCCTCCTACTCCGCCCCAGCTCGACCTCAAATGACCCAAGACGGACGAAGCATGACATCTGAAGGCCTTACCATTACTCCCAACGACCACGCACACTGCACCTGTAACGCCACCAGACTCACATGTTACCGCCTCCCGTTGCCCATCGAAGCAGGTGCATCCGAGAACACTGCGATGGCACGGTGGCGGGACTTGCCGCAGGCAAGTGGGTTATAATCGTGTCCACAAAAAACCTATCCGACTGAATGCGCGCCCAATTCACAGCTAACGCGAGCAAAAGCCGGAAGGGCAAGTGGCAGGAGCAGGGGAGGGGAAGGGAGGGGGATGGGGAGAACATGTGCGAAAGGGGCGAGCAAAAGAGAGAATTGCAAACCTGCGACGGGGAAGACTCTTGAGAGGGAAAGTGGACCCAAATGAGGGGGGCATTAGAAACGAGACGCGCACGCACAACTGTATGGAAGAGGAGAGGCCAGATCGATACAAACGCAACACGCGACCGACCCAAAACGGCTTCGACTAGATGGGGTCGGAGGACCGCGCCGCAACGCCAACGCATCGCTGCTGCATCGGCGATGCATCGGCGACGCCGGCGATGCATCGGCGACGTCGGCGTGGAGAAAACCCCGCTCCACATCGAGCCGCACCACCGACGCATCGGCGATGCGGCGCAATCCTCCGACCCCATCCGCTCGGACCCCGTCCGGGAGGCCCGGATGCATGGCACTCCTCGACCACTCCCCAGACTCCGACGTTCACGACGTCGAACCCCACAGGGCTCCACCCATTCCCTGGGACCGGTCCTTCATCCCCAATAGTTCGTTGACGGTTCTGGGGCTCGGCGAAAGCCCCCTGAAAATAGCAAGAACTAAAAACCGTCACGATTTTGTCAAGTCAAGACGCGAGGAGGCTTCCAGGTCAGAACTCGGGTCGCATGCGGCCCTTCGTCGTGGGTTGCTAGAGGTGCCCCTAGGTGCTCCCAGCTTTTCGCTCAATTTCGGAGCCCCTAGGGCCTTCTGGGCCTCCCTGGCTATCCTGGAGGCTTCCCTGGATATCCTGGGGGCTTCCCTGGATCCTGGGCCCTCTGAAGCCGTGGGGCCTTCCCTGGATATCCTGGGGGCACCTTGGGCCAGGGGTACTTCCAGCAGCACCCGAATTCTCGGGACGATGCCGGCAGCTCCGGACGTCCTCTCGACGAGACACAGCGGCTGAAACCACCCCCGGCCCCGAAGACCTCCGAGAACCTTCGAAAAGGATCGAACAGAATCGAAATATAGGAATCGTAGAGAATCGAAAAGAATCGAGAACCTTCGAAAAGGATCTAGAAGAATCGAGAGAGTTGAGAATCGAAGAAGATCGAAGGGAATCGAGAACCTTGGGAAAGAAGGATCGAGAGCCTCGCGACGCGAGGGGGGGTCTGGGTCTGAAGGAGACTCGTGAGGAGAAGGCGCAAGCCGCCGAGAGTTGCATGCTCGGTCTGGGGACCTTCCTGGAGCCACTCGCTCCACTCATGCGTCGATGCTGCGTCGAAAGCCCGCTGACTTGAGTCCAACTTGAGTCGAACTTGCGTCGAACTCGAGTCGAAGTGGAATCGATTTAGAGTCGATATAGTCGAACAGATCCAGTAGCTGGGTCCCAGGACGGTCCCAAAACTGGACACCTAGCAAGAAAGGACCGCGAACGAGCCGTAAGCTCCTGGGCAGGGTAGCGAGGGGCACGGCAGCGCGGAGGGGCAGGTCGGGTCGAACGGCGCCGGGTCCTCAATGTCCTCGAGGGAGTAGGGAGGAGGAAGGAGGGAGGAGGGAGGAGGGTAGGAGGGAGGGGGGAGGGAGGAGAGGGAGGGAGGGAGGAGGGAAGGAGGGAGGGGGGAGGGGAGGGGGAGGGGGAGGAGGAGGAGGAGGAGGAGGAGGAGGAGGAGGAGGAGGAGGAGGAGGAGGAGAGGAGGAGGGAGGACGAGGAGGAGGAAGGAGAGGAGGAGGAGGAGGAGAGAGAGAGGAGGAGGAGGAGGAGGAGGAGAGAAGAGGAGGAGGAGGAGGAGGAGGAGGAGGCGGAGGAGGAGGGCGGAGGAGGAGGAGGAGGAGGAGGAGGAGGAGCAGTGGGCCCTCCCTGCCCCCCTCGCCCTGGGGCTCGTGCCTGTGTTCGGGCTCGCGCTTGGGCTCAGACTCGGGCTTGTGTTCGGGCTGGCTCCTGGGCTCCAGAATCGAGCCCAAGCCCGTGTCGGAGCCCGAGCCCGAGCCCGAGCTGGAGCCTGAGCCCGAACCCGGCCAAAGTCCTCCCAAAGGAAAGAGGTCCGCGCGGATTTCTCGGATCGGCGCTGGGATCTCCCCGGCGGCGCCTCTGGCGCCTCCCCTGGCGCGCTCCGCGCGTCAGGAAGGGAATGTTCAGCGTCCGATGCAAGGCGGCGCAAGAGGGCCCCCAGAGGGTCTAGAACTAGAAGGCCCCCGAGAGTACCCAAAAGGCCCCCAAGAGGGGCCGCAAGAGGGCCCAGGAGGGGCAGGCGAAGGGGCTTCCCGAGACCTTTCCCACAAAGATGTCTCCCAAGAACCCCAGCAGGCCCCCAAGAGGCCCCCGAGAGGCCCCAAGAGTGTCCTGACCATCTGCTCGCCTTGATCGCAATCATATCACAATGTAGCATCACTCGAACCGCGCCCCGACCAGTCGCCCATGGATGCGCAGTCTAACTTTTCGTCACCGGCCGCGGGGGATCAAGCAGCGCTCGGGCAACGGCGGGACGCACCGGAGCCAGCGCGTACTCGGTGCCGCGCAGACACTGGCACTCAGAATCGGATCGACCGAATCCAGGACACATCTGGCACGTTGCCAGCAATCGAACCCCGCTCTGGGCCTCCTCCTGAGCATCCTCGTTCTCCTCTCCCTCCCAGTCCTCCTCCTCCTCCATCCCTTCTCCTTGCAAATCAAGCCTCCCTGTCGCACCCCCAAGACGTGTTGGTTGGGCGGGCCGGGCGTTTCGCCTGAGACTTCCTCTCCGTGTATGATCCTGAAGCTTGAGATGTTCAACAGTTTTACGGATGGAGGGCGAGTCCTTTTCAGAATGTGGCTCTCACCTTGGCGCCGCGCACATTCGTCTGAAAAGTTTGCGACAGATTCGCAGATGGCGGTATGGTTTTCAACATGTGGCTCTTGCCTTAGCGAGGCGCACATCTTTCTTGACAGTTCGTAGCTGTTTCACGGATGAAGGGCCTGTCGTTTTCAAATTGTGAATCTCGCCTCAGCGCCGCGCACATTCGCCGTAAAAGCTTGCAACAATTTGAAGGATTCGCACGGTCGAAGTCCCGGGGCTGGTGTTCTGGCACAATGTAGCAAGACGCAACAATCACGTTGATTCGCGGTATTGAAATCCCAAGGATGGTGTTCCGGCACGCTTTAGTATTGTCTGGAAGCAACAGTCATGTTGATCCGAGGCGTTGAACCCGCACGTTGGCCCGTTCAAGGGTTCTCAGACGGTTGCCTTCGAGTTGGCCATTTCCAGCAACGGAAACGAATTACTTCGGGGACCTGTGAAGACGAAACTTCGTTGGAGGGCCAACTGCAACATCGCTGATGCGTCTTGGGCGTGCACTCTTCCTCATCGTCCTCCTCCTCCTCCTCCTCTTCCTCCTCCTCCTCCTCCTCCGCCGCCTCCTCCTCCGACTCCGCCTCCGCCTCCTCCTCCGCCTCCTCCTTCTCCTCCGCCTCCGCCTCCGCCTCCGCATCCTCCTCCTCCTCCTCCTCATCCACCTCCTCCTGCTCCTCCTTCTCCTGCTCCTCCTCCTCCTCCTCCTCCTCCTCCTCCTCCTCCTCCTCTCCTCCTCCTCCTCCTCCTCCTCCTCCTCCACTCCTCCTCCTCCTCCTCCTCCTCCTCCTCCTCCTCCTCCGCCTCCGCCGCCTCCTCCTCCTCCTCCACTTCCTCTTCCTCCTCCTCCTCCTCCTCCTCCCTTCCTTTCCCTTATAGATAACTTCTCCCTGTCGCACCCCGAAGCCAGTTTTTCGGGCGGGCTGGGCGTTTCGCCTGAGATTCCCCTCACCATTCGTGACTCTGAAGCTTGAAAAATGACAACAGCTTCACAGATGGAGGGCGGGTGGTTTTCAAAATGTGGTTTTCGCCTTAGCGCCGCGCACATTCGTTTCAAAAGATTGCAAGAAGTTCACGGATTGAGGGCGGGTGGTGTTCAAAAGGCGGCTCTCGCCTTAGCGACGCATGCATTCGTTTTTTAAATTGCAAGAATTTCACGGATTGAGGGCGGGTGATTTTCAAAATGTGGCTCTCGCGTTAGCGCCACACACGTTTGATTTAAAAATGTGCAGAAGCTTCACGGATTGAGGGCGGGTCGTTTTCAAACTGTGGCTCTCGCTTCAGCGCCGCACACATTCGATTTAAAAATTTGCACGAGCTTCGCGGATTGAGGGCGGTTCCTTTTCAAAATGTGACTATCGCCTTAGCGCCGCGCACATTTGCTATAACATATGAAAAAAAAGGTTTCACGGATTCCCATGATCAACATACCACAAAAGGTGTGTTGGAAAGGGTTCAGGATTATGCGGGTGCAACAATTATGTTGATTCGCGGTGTTGAAGTCCCAAAAACCGCGTTGTGGCACGATTCCAGATCGCCAAGACGCAGCAGTCAGGTTGATCTGTGGCGTTGAAATCTCGAGAGCAATGTGTTGGCATGCTTCAGGGTCTTCAAACGGTTGTCTTCCAACGAGGCAGTTCCCTCAATGGAAATGAGCCGTTGTAGGAGCCTATGAAGAGGGAGCTTGGAAGGAGGGTTATTTCCAACATCGTTGATGATTATTGGGTTCGCACTGGTCATCCTCCTCCTCCTCCTCCTCCTCCTCCTCCTCCTCCTCCTCCTCCTCCTCCCGTACCCTTCGCGCGGATCGCCCCAGTTGAGGGGCACCGCGGGCATGGCCCGAGTAGCCCTGGACTGCACGGGCTGCCTTCAAATTGATTTACTGTCGCAATGCGACGCCCAGAAGCGTTCACGGCACCTCCCCTGGTGCGAGCAGTCCGCTTCCCAGGGCCACCTGGACTGAACTGTACCTCTGTTAAGACGAGGCCAGGACGAAGACAACTTCGGCTGAAGATAAATCGAGAATATCTGAGATCCCGCGGCTCTTGAGGACGTCTCGGGCGACGCGGCTTCTCGGAGCGTTCTGAAACGCTCTGAGAGCGTTCCATAAAGCTCTGGAACGGATTTGTCCTCGTCTTAGCCCCGTCCGAATCCTCCTCCTACTCCTCCTCCTCCTCCTCCTCCTCCTCCTCCCCTCCTCCTCCTCCTCCTCCTCCTCCTCCTCCTCCTCCGCCTCCTCCTACTCCTCACCCTCCCCCTTCCCCCCTTTTCCTAGCGCCAGCTCGGGCCAAACCGTGGCCCCCGAGCCAGCGCCACGGCGCTCCCGCGCCGCCCAGGGGCCCTCCCTCCCCTCCTCGTCGCGCCCGTGTCCCTTCGCCGCGGGATGGACCGGTCGGCCGGGCTGCGGCTGTGCTGCCGCCGCCGCCCGAACCGCTCTGCCGTGGGGCGCCGCGAGCAGTATGCGCGGGCGCAGGGGCGGGCGGCGCAGCACCTGCTGCAGGCCTTCGAGGCCATCACGGTGCACCGCGGCCAGCAGCTGTCGAGGCTGGGCCATGCGGTTCGCCTGGCGCTCCTGGAGGGCCCGCCTGGAGACCCTGCCGAGGGTCGGGCTCATGGCGAAGCAGGTGCGGGAGCTGGAGATGAGGGCGCCGTGCAGGAAATCACCAGCACTCCTCAGCAGGCGGAGGTGGCGCCTGGCGGAGTCACTGGTGCGGCCGCCGACTCCGTGCTGGAGCCCGCGGTCATCGTGGAGGACTTCGCCGATGAGCCGTCGGAGGAGGCGCCGAAGGGCGAAGAGCGTGCCGTGGGAGAGGCCGCTCCCTTCGCTGCGGAGGCGCCAGGCGCGGCCGCAATCCCTCCCGCGGGGCCCCTGCGGGGGGTAGCTTCCCCTGATGCGGTGGAGGCGGGCGCGGGTGCTCGTGACGGAGGCGTGGGCGCGGACGTTGGAGCGCTGCTGCGCGGGCTCGGGACGGCGATGGCGGCAGCCACCCCTGCCCCGTCGGCTGCCGAGCGTTGGGCGACCAGCGCTGAGCGTGCGCGGCTCCTCCGAGACGCCGATGCTCTACGTGGCGCTTCGGGCTCGGAGGAGTGCAAGCAGAGTTGAACTACTTCGACTCGTACGGCTTCCACCTCTCCTTCGTGTACTCGGGTTCCCGTTCTGGGTCGTCGCGTTGCTGGAGGAGGTCAGAGTGGCGGGGAGCCTAGAATTTTTTATTATCGCACCGCGATGGAGCCCAGCCCAGCCATTCCCCCCTTTTCCTTCTCCTCCTCCTCCTCCTTCTCCTCCTCCTCCTCCTCCTCCTCCTCCTCCACCTCCTCCACCTCCTCCACCTCCTCCGCCTCCTGCGCCTCCTGCGCCTCCTGCGCCTCCTCCGCCTCCTCCGCCTCCTCCTCTTCCAGGTCGCCCATGCGTCCGGAACGCCGTCATCGTCGGAGTCCTTCATCCCAACCTGCGGTTAGCAGCCGGAACGCAGCCCCCCAAGCCCGCACGCGGGACAAGCCGAGGCACGGACGCCGCCAATGCGCGGCCCGCACAGAGAGAGAGGGGAGAGAGGAGCCGGGGCGCCACAGCGGTGAGGTCGGGGTCAACAGCCACCGGCGGTTCATCGACGCCATGAGCACAGTCAACCCATACAGTA